TGGAGACTGAGCTGCCTATCAGCTACATATGAGCAGGGCATCTAGGTCCTCTTCATGCATGGCCCTTGGTTGGTGCATTAGTCTCTGCAGGCCCCATGGCCCCAGATTTGTTGGCTCAGTTGTTCTTCTTACGAAACTCCTGTCCTCTCTGGGTCCTTCTATTCCCCCACTCTTTGCTAGAACTCCCTGAGCCTCTGTCCAAAGTTTGGATGTGAGTCTTAGCATCTGCTTCAATCCCCTGCTCGGTGGAGTCTCAGTAGTTCTCTTGTATACAAAAGACAAGCATGCTGAGAGAGAAACAACACCTTTCACAATAGTGACAAGAAAACATAAAGTTTCTTTGTGTAACCCTGACAAAGCAAGTGAAAGATTTGTATGGAAAAAAAAAAAAACCCTTCAAGTCTCTGTAGAAAGGAATGGAAGAAGATATCAGAAGATGGAAAGATCTCCTGGTAGGATTAACATAGTAAAAATGGCCATCTTACCAAAAGCAATCTACAGATTCAATGCAATTCCCAACAAATTATAGGCCTTGAAAGAACAATTCCCAAGCTCATATGGAAAAAATAAAAAACCCAGAATAGCTAAAACAATCCTGTGCAATAAAAGATCTTCTGGAGGTATCTCCATCCCTGATCTCAAGCTGAATTGTAGAGCAGCAGTAATAAAAACTGCATGGTACTGGCATAGAAACAACCTGATGGGTTAATGGAATCAAATTGAAGACCCAGAAATAAACCCACACACCTACAGACACTTAATTTAGACAAAGAAGGCAAAACCATACAACACAAATAAAACTTTAATAACATGGCTATAGCAAATCTGTTGGTGCCCCTGTTTGAGGTTATGAGGAGGCATAATTTAACAGTGGCTGTTGCCCAGCTTGAGTTGTCAACCACTTGAAAAGATAAAAGAGTAAGAAAGGACTGGGTCAAGAATGTCTGTTTTGTGAAAAGTTAATGGTGGATTCAGTGGCCTGTATCTATAGGCAGGTTGGTTTTTGCATGTTGCTCATGAAGGTCCTTGTACAATCCTCAAAGAAGATCCTTGCTTTCTATGTGAAATCTGATTCCTCAGAGGAAGGGGAAAGAAGAAGGCTGGGTTTTGTCTTGCAAGCTCATCTCAGTAAGAAGCAGAGGATGAGGCTCTCGCTGCAAGAGGTAAGGGGTGTTAACAGTAATGGAATACCCTCTGTATGGGAGGAAATACCAAAGGGGAATCACAAGGCTTCCCGAAGCTCTATCCTGTTCATGTAATCACCTGTGGCTGATGGAACAGTGGTCACAGGGTGTAAGTCAAGCTATTGCAATAGGAAGCAAGCTTGTGGGTAAACTCAGTATATTGTTATTCTTGGTTCTGTTTCACAAAACTTAGAAACATCTTCCCATTCTTTTTTTTTCTCACTTAGTAGCCTCCATATCGTCATAGAATACCCTCTTGTGCACTATCACCAGTGCCTCAGTTTTCCTGTTTTTTTGTTTGTTTTTCTTATTGCTATGACCAAACACCAGGTTAAAGCAACCCAAAGAAAGAAGGAGTTATTTTGGCTCATGGTTGGAGGTTATATTATTGCACATCATGATGCGGAAAGTGCAACTGGCTGGAGTATAAGGTAGTGGTCACACTGCATCAAGTCAGGAAACTTAATGAAAGCTACTGCTCAGATCTCTTTCTTCTCTATATTCAGTCATGGACCTCACCCTATAGAATGTGTCACTATGTTTAGGGTGTGCCAGCACCCACGTGGTGGCTCTCAACCACTAGTTGGAACTCCAGTTCCAGGGGATCTTCTGCCTTCTCAGGCCTCTGAGAGCACCCAAGTATGCACGTGGTGCACAGGCATGCATGGTGGGCAAAATACCCATACACATATCATAGTAGTGATGATGATGCAGTATATCAAAGATACTGAAAACTTCATAAATATTTTCTCATTTCTTATCTCTTGGCAATAGGTTTTGGCTTTTTGAAAATACGTATAGTGTTTTCAATCTTTTTTTTTTTCTTTTTGTGGATTTACAGAGTTAGGATTTGGGGATTTAGTAAAAGTTAGTTTAGGAGGTTAGTAAAAAAAAGGACAATTCATTTGTAAGTACTGATTTTTTCTAATAATTTAGAAACCCTTTTATTCGATTTAGAATATTTAAGTGAAAATTAAAATCCCAGCAGTTGATATTAGGATTTTAACCAAAAATTTTATTTTTTCTGGGTCACTCTTGTAATAATAATGGTTAAAGACAATTTTAAACAAAATTTCAAAAATTAAAAAGGACAATCATATTAATGTTTAAAGAAAATACTGAAGTAGCTGAAGTATGAAAAATGAATTGTTATGAGAATGTCTATGCCTGGAGTGGGTAGTTTATAGAGAACCATCACATGCCTTTCACAACTGCTTAGGATGAATGGTAACTTTTTTTTGGAGTTATAGGTATGTACAAATTATCCAATTTAAATAAATCATACAGATCTTGACCCCTACACATTTTTAAGCCTCAGGTACTAACTTGAGTATTTTCTGTAACAATATCACCATGACTTTGAAGTGATTAAATGTTCCAAGTATTTGCTGTCTCTTTAATCTTTTTTTTTTTCAATTTGATTACAAGAGCATAAAAGAGAACAATTTTAGAGTTCGTTTCTTTTTTCTTTTGAGGTCAATTAGTAAGCTTGCGGTTTTGGCGGTTTTCTACTCTATCCAAAATGCCCATCATTGCTGAAATCTAATTTTTAAGTTCATTTGTGTAGATCGCAATGGCAAGTCAAACACTGTAAAGATGGAAATGTTTTTTAGTCTGTGCTATTGGCTATGGCAGCCATAAAGCTCCAGGAAGGTACTGAGCACTCAAACTGTGGCTGGTACAGTGGAGGAGCTGACTTCAAAGTATATTAATTTGATTTAAGGGAAACTTAAGGAGCTGCTTGTGGATAGTGGCCACTCTGTGGGACACATAGCATTTCTTTTCAGTTTTAGATTTAGTGTGGACCCTGAATGTGGGAACATGAGCTTGTACACACATGGCCTTGCTGTTGTTCCCAGAAACAAATCTGGGAAGACTGACTTAAATTTGAAATTGTTTGGCATATGTCATAAACAGTTTTGAGTACCTTTGTGTACCTGGTGTCAGAAATGTTTACTTCAAGCTTCCTGACTTGCCTTTAGGGTAGGGCATGAAGACTTGAGATGTGCCACTTTACACACTTGTGTGAACATGGCCTTACTAGCTGAGAACAGGCTATTTTCACCTCAGCTGTGGGAGGCCCATCATGGATTGTACTGGGCCTTTAGAGTGAATACTACTTCAATTGGCTATGAGCTCTGGCATTCCTGGACTGCACCTCCTTGGAGGATGGAACATAGTGAAATTCCCTCAAAGGCATTGCATAGTGTGGGTCCTATGACTACCTATCAGAGTCATTCTCTCAGGTTGTTCTCCTGTGTTAGTTCCCTTAACAAGTTTTGGGTGGAAAAATGAACAGATCACTCTGTTCTTTGCTCCTCCATGCTTTATTATGCTATAATGTGACAATTGTATACACTGTAATGTTTTGATGCATGCATATATTGTGGAGTTTTGATACACATATATATTATGGAATTATATACACACAAGGTTATCATGTTTGTATTCGTGTGTTTCTGTTTGTGAGTGGAGGGCACAGGCTAACCTTGGGTGTATTATTCTTTAGGAACCATCTACCATTTTTAGAGACATGTCTCACTGTCTTGGAGATTTTCAATTAGGCTAGGTTGGCTGGCCAGTGAACCCCAGAGATCTGTCAATCTTTACCTCCTTTGCACTGGTATTACAAGCATCTACCACACCTGGCTGTTAGGGGGTGGGTTCTGAGGATCAAACTCAGGTCCTTGGGATTTCATGGAATGCACTTCACCAACCTAGCCATCTCTCCAGGACCCCCTCCCCCTATATCAAATGCAGTAGTATTAATTCTAATCACATTGTGCACTGGGCCCCAAGAACTTATTTATCACTAACTGTGGGCCCTTGGCCACATTTCCATGTTTTTCCCATTTTTTCCTTTAATCTCAGTTTCTATGTGAGATCATGCAGTAATTGTCTTTTTTTTTTTTGGTCTGTCTTATTTCATTTAATGTAATGTATTTCAGCTTTATCCATACTGTATCTTCCCCTTGTAAGGCTTTGTATCATCTTCATTTTCATTACCTATTCATTTGTTGTTGGGCAGCTAAACTGATTCCATAGTATGTTGGTAAGTCTTTCTTATGATGACTTCATTTGTTTTCAGTATATACCAAGGATTAAGAAAGTGGGATCTATCTTTATTCCTACACTTCTTGTAGGTGAGACAAATTTTGTGTTGAGGTTTAATAGGTAGGGGAAAGTGGCATGAAGGTTGGACTGGGAGAAGAGAAGAGAGGGGCCTGGGATCAGACTCCAAAGTGATTAAATAAAAAAAAATAGAATAAAAATAGAATAAACAAAAAAGAAACTGGGAAATGTGGTAATTCAATTTCTAGTTTTTTTTTAAATGACTTTCATTCTGTCTTCTATGGTGGCTAGACCAGTTTACTTCTCACCAACAATATATAAGTGTTCCCCTTTTCTCATTTTTTTTAAACAATTTCCTGTGTTTTGACTTTGTTAGTATGTACCTACAATGTCACACTGTGATTTTGATTTACATTTCTCTGATTAGTGATGGTGAACATTTCTTCCCATACCCACTAGCCATTTGAATGTTTTCTTTGGGAAAATGTCTATTTATATCCTTTGGCAATTATTTTAATGGAAAAAAAAACTTCAAATTGGAAAAAAAATAAACCAATGTAGTGTTTAACATCTGAAATAAACATGGAGCTGCTACAAATCAATACAGACCAGTACAGATCAATACAAATCAATAAAGACCTCAAACAGTTTGATTTTACAGTAGTCAAAGGATCAACTTTGTTTTCTGTTTTTTTTTGTTTTTGTTTTTTTTTTTTTGTGTGTGTGTGTGTGTGTGTGTGTTTTTATCTTATCTTCTGAAAGGGTACAGCATGGCCCATGAAGACTTCTGTGGACATGTTGGTAAAATGAACCCAGGACACCTACAGGCATTGCCATGACAGGGGATTGGTGAATGGTAACAGTCTTAGGTTGTGTATGTTTGATCGTGCCTATTTTCAGTACATCAATCCTTTCCCTCACTTCTTTCATACTCTAATACCTCTGATCTCTCCTTTCTTTGTTTCTTTTCTGTTGCTATGACAAAATACCCCAACAAAAGCATTTTTAAGAAGAAAGAGCTGTTTTTACTGTACTCTTCATGGTATTACTAGGAAAAACAGGGGTCTCTTTTGTTGGTTTTTAGTCACATTGATAAAGAATTAAAAAAAAACTAGACTCAGAAGGAAGCTTGAGACCATTTATTAGCATTTAAGAGAAAAACAATAGTGCAGGCAAGTTGTGAAACTTCGCAGCTACCAGCAAAATGGAGCTGCTGAGAGAAAGTCATGTTTTTTTGAATGAGGGTCTAAAAAAGTCAGCATGTTCAGCAATGGAGGTTGGCAAGCAGTTGCTTGTTGGAAGGGGAGAGGAACTTCAGAAAAAGAGTGAAAAAAATTTGATCTTTACATTAAAAGGTTCAATTGGACTTATCAAACAGAACAGGGAGAAATGTATTCAGACGTATTCAGATGTATTCACTGAAGTAATGAAATCTTCAAAGCATGTATAGAACCACTACAGGTCCTCATAGTCTCAGAGTTCTCATGCTGCTGTTTCCTTCATATGATCTCCTCCTCCTCCTTTTCCCCCTCCTCCTGTTTCTTTTTCTTTTTTTGCCAACCAAAGATATCTGGGGGAAATTCCATCTGCACTGAACATATGCAGGCATTTTCTTATCATTATTCCCTAAACAGTGTGCTATGGCAACTCTTTACACAGAATTTACATAGTATTAAGTGTTATAAATAATCTAGAGAAAAGAATATGGGAGGGTTATATGCAGATACTATGTCACTTTATAAAGCCTACTTCAGCATCGGAGGATTCTGTTTTTGGTGCATGGCTGTGGAGTCAATCGTCTGTAGATGCTGTTCTGCCCAGTTCACGAACCCCAAAAGACCAGGAATAAACAGACTCCGCTCTAAATACATGAGGTCCTTTTTATTGTAAATTACAAGCTTCAGCTTGGGCCCACACACACTGAGCGCCCCATGCCCAGGTTAATTGGGTGATATCTAGATTCTGGTCCCTCCCAGCATGCCCAAGGCAGGGGCAATTCCTACCTGGCAAGCATCTATTGGTCAAAATGCTACATTTTGAATTGATTGGCTAGAGGAAGGTTCCCAGACCATTAATGACCTGGTGTCCCTCCGTAGGAGGATGGGCCAGTTTCCTAGCAAGTGTTATCTCTAGTTGGTGGGGAAAGAATGCAGTAAGGCGGTCCTTCCCTTCAGGGCATTACTAGACTTCTCCACCCACATAGTTCAGGCCTTAATTAATAATAGCTGCTAATTTATCTTTTGGTCTCTCAACACCAACAGACAGTTTTACACAAACACAACCCCCTTGTTGATTCTTGTCCTCTGACAGCCCCTAATATATTTGCAAATGGCAGAATCTCATATGGAAGCACAGAACAAAAAGGGAAGTTTGTGGATAACAAGACCATAGCAAGTGACACATGGAACTGACCACAGGGGCAGCAGGACAGGCAGGGGCAAAGCTCTCTCCACCTCTTCTCTGCACTGTTCTGGGAATGCTGGCCCCTTTTTCTCCTTCACAACCAGGTCACTTCACACAGCGTGGGAAGCCATCATCATCATCTTTTTGCTTATGGCTCACAGCTTTTTCCAGATCATCAGTCTCAGAGCCTGGAAGGAACCTGTGGTGACTGAAAGGAATAAGTTAGTTTTACAGGTCTTTTTATGAATTCTATACCTCATATTAAACTAAGTTCTCCTAGTACTTTTTCAGAAAGCAGAAGGATAAAAGGAAAAGCGGGTGAATTGAGATAAGACCCACCCTATTGCAAAGGAATGCCAAAGGTCTCCACCCCTCCAGAGGAAAGTCCAGATCTGCGAGATAATGTTGCCTGGCAACTGGTCCAGACTGTTAGAGCGCCCCCACCCAGATAGAGGCAGGACTAGATTGACTTGGCGCCTACAATGAACCAATTATTTTCAAAGTCAACTACCCTATAGCCCTTCACCCAATCCTAAACTGCCAAGACTGCAACCTGCCCCACCCCCCAGCTTTCCTGTGCTTTTTCCTTTAAAAACCCCAGGCTCTTGTCTCTCCGTGCTGTTCCTGTTCCTGGATGGTTTGGAGGGAAGCCACATAGCACAGTGGCTTGAATAAACCTCTTGCATTTGCATTGATTCCGGTCTCCCTGGAAATTAGGCTCCTGCTGGGCCTAACAGTGACCCTTGTAATGAAGCACTGGACTACACATTGTGAAAACCTACAAGTTCCCTCAGGACTGTAGTCAGGCAGCAGAGCCTAGGAGAGCCCACACACAAGTTCAGTCTCAGAGCCTGCAGGCTCAAAATGCAAGGAAAGCTCATGTTTGCATTTAAGGAGCAGAGCCAGAGAAACACCAATGTCTTTCTCAGCCCAGCATGCAGAAACACATCTTCCTTACTAAAGCCTTTTTGTTCCATTCAGTCCCTTGACGGATGGGGTAAGGTCCAGCTGCATTATCTGCTTTCCTGGGGTTGAGATTCAAACGTTTGCCTCATCCAAACCCACAGTTAGTCAGCTTCTGACAGCTGTGACAGCATACCTGAGATAAATATTTTTGTGTTTTATTTTAAATTAAAAATTTCCAAAAATTAAGTCTGAAAATATCAATAAAAATACTGATGGGCAGGAGGTGTTTTACATTCCCAAATCCCAGTACTTAATGCTCCTTCTGTCTTGCTACTTAATTTGTAAAAAAGGTGAACTCCTCCTGTTTCCTTTCCTTAGTTTGTGCTTCCCGATTTCAGCCTGATGGTCTAACCCTCAGGTAAGGCAACTTGAGCCGCTTAATATATGTTGGTAGAACTCTTGTCATTCTGTACATTACCAACCAAGCACAGAATAATGGCCATAATTCTTTTGAACAGTTGTGTTTAAGTATTTTTTTTTCCTTTCCAAGGGCTTAGTGAAAGATGATGCTGATAGCCTGCTTCTGAGCTCAGGTGGTTAGAGTTCCCATGTACCCACATATAGCACCCCATCTGAAGTGCATGTTGAGCCTCTCTTAGAGGTTCTTGATCACTGAAGGATGCCAAATGGAATTTAACTCTGAAGTTTATCTACAGGGTTCCCAGTGGGTCTAAGCCCCAGGCTTCCACAGCTGGGACTTGCTTATGAACACTCCTCTTTGGCTTTCTCCTTTGCCCATCTCACCCTTTCTCTAATTCCTCCATTTTGCTTTCTTTATCACTTCTCAAATAAACAACCTGCCTATAGGTCCTTGTTTCAGGGTCTTTTATGGGTGAATCCAAGCTAAGACAAGCAGGAAATGTAAGTATTATGTTCTAACACTGCATCCTCAGAGTCTGAGGCTAGAAGATGGAACAGGCTCCCAGCATGCTCTCAAACATGTAAACAAACACAAGAAAAACCCTGCCCAACAGCCAGAAGCAACAACTAGTCCTCTTAGCAGTAAAGGCTCTATTACTGTAATTGGACATGGTTAACATTTCCAGGGTAGTGGATGCTGAGGGCTTGCCCATCTCTATTTAGTCTCACATACATAATCCTCACCTGATGTTCATGCTAGCTGCTGATGGCTCATTGCTGCCTTCCTCCCTGGAAATTGTATGCTGTGGCAAGGTGTTGAATGTCCCAAGGTTGTACTTCCTTCTCAGAACAATCCTGATAACTGTTGGCCGATTTCAGGACAATCCTGAAGATTTATCCTAACTCCACATCTCCCTGTTGGGTTGGCTAATTGCATTTTTGACTGCCATCTGTCTCTCTCTCCAAGTATTGCTTTTTGCCCTTCTTAAGTCAACACACACAGTACTATCTGAGGGAGGCTTTGGAAACTTGAAAGAGCCTCCTCACCCGGAACTGTCCTAGACATCCTTTTTTTTTTTAATATTTTGGGCTGCTCAGGCACTCTGACCACAGCACCTGTGGGGTGTGTCACTTTGCTGTGGTGTTGCATGTGCAGACTTGTTTTCCGGCTGTGTTATATTTGGTGTCTTGTTGGTTTGGTGTTTTCAACGGATGATGGGAGGTTGGGGCATTCTGTGTGCTGAGATGCCATGCTCAAAGGAGCCAGCCTGTGGCTTACAGCTGTGAGTGAATTTGAGCTGCTCAGAAAAGATTGTGGAACCTCAGTACCAGGAAATGAAAAGTGAAGAGATTCCAAATCGCACCAAAGATGGTGTGACAGTCACTGTCATTTCAGGAGAAGCCTTGGGAATAAAAGTAAGTCAGACCTGTTGTATGTCTCTGAAACATGAAGTATATGATGACATCAGAATGCATCTGTCTTCATTGTCATCTCTCACTGAGTTTATTTTAATGTGTCCCAGTTAGAGGGACTTGTTTCATAGATATCAGGATAAGCATGACTTGTGGGAACCCAGAAATTTTTTGCTGTATGCAAGCTCATAGAGTTGGAATACTTATAAGAAGTTATGCTCATATGAAGTTTGATTAAAAAGAAGTTTTCTATAGGTATGTCTTAATATATGTACAGATTTACCCTAATTCTTAATATTTTTTCGTCAGATTTAATGCTTTGAATCCTGACTCCTTGCTACTGCAAAGTTACTGCTTTTGAGACACAAACAACAAGATAGGACCAATTTCACCACTTAAAGATTCATGCAAATAATTTATGCCCCACTTAGTGAACAAGGAAAGCACATGACAAGATTACAGGGTTTTAAGATAAAATTAACTGTCGAGTCTTGAGAGGTGTTCTGCAGTTAAGATCACCAACAGCTCTTGCAGAAGACCTGGATTTGATCCCCAGCACCCACATTGAGGCACAACCACATATAACTCTAGCCCCAGAGGTTCTGAGTCCCCTTTTCTGACCTCCATGGGTACTCATACACATGTAGACACACGTAAATAAAAAATAAAATTTTAAAGAATAAATCAAAATTACCTCTTCATTCAACTTACATGGGACATGCTCTCTATATTTTGTTATTGGGACTTGATAGTGTTTGGGTTAGGGTCTCACTTTTTAATGAAATAACATCAATTTAAGAAGGGGGTATGACAAGTATTGTAGTAATTGCCCACCTGGGCAGTTTTCTAGGGAGACAAAGGATCTGCATAGAGGCCAGTATATGGTAATGATGAGCTTGGTCGCAGAACCTAGTAGGTGGTTGTGCCTAGAGGTTGACCCCGAGATGTATATTCCTGTGCTCATGATTTTAAAGGAAGTGCTCCGCTCCTAGGGAAACAGTAAAGGAAACCTGGACAAAGTAGGAAGAGCACTAAGCAAGATCATTGTCTCAGGTTAAAGCTGAAAGAGAGTGGCTTTAACCAGACCCCACGGGGACCCTTCAGGATCAGCATGTTTCAATGTTGTTCCGAACCACCAGACAAGATAGCAGGGTTTTCATGCTTCCGTGCCTAATAGTTATTCGTTTGGGCCTTGATTCTGTAGTGTAGGGTAAAAGTAGTCAAGAGAATCTGTTAAGGGGCTGGAGATGTGGCATCTGGCAATGGGAGCATCAGAAGATTGCAAAGCACTTTGCTATTGTCCCAGTGATTAACTAGCTTAAGACTATTTTTAACTTAAGTGTTCCACTTTCCTTTCTGTTGCTATGATAACAATACAAGGACCAAAAGCAACTTAAGAGAAAGAAAGTGTTTATTTCAGGTCACAGTTCATCTGTGAGGGAAATCAGGAAAGAATATCAAGCAGGAACTTAATGCAAAAACTGTAGAGGAAACATTGTTTGCTGGCTTCCTCAGGGTCATGCTTAAGTAGCTCCTTCATACATCCCAGGATCACCTTTCCAGGGAATGGCGCTGCCTACAGTGGGCTGGGCCCTCCTTCATCAATTAACAATCAAGACAATCTCCTGTAGACATGCCTACAGACCAATGTGATCTGGACAATTTCTCAGTTGAGTTTCAATTCTTGGATGAGTCTAGGCTGTGTCAATTGAGTTGATAGTTACAGATAACTGTGACATTTGGTAAATTTTGATTATTTTATGTGCATGTGATTATAGCTTGTCAGTGGCTTCTAAATAATTACTCAGTGACACATTGCACAATTACAGGCTTAGATTGTTGCTTGGGTCCCACTGTTTTTGTTCATTTATCCTGTATTGTAACCACAGTTCTGTATTTGCAACACCCAAATTTGTGTTTCGAGTGCACACAGAAATAATTGGAAGAAAAAAACAAAACAAAACAAAACTAATGTTTGCTCACAGTTAAGCGTATATGACTGCTGTTCACCACCCTGTAGTACAGTTGAAATAGCTTTTCTTTCAGTTACTGTGACTGATTTGTTTCTGTTCATCAAGCATGGAGGCCTCCCTTTTACAGCTTTCGTGAATTTTCCTCCCCTTTGTTCTGAAGAGGAGAGTTAAGACCTTGTGGGCTCTTCTGAGAAAAGGTCAGAGAATTTCCTAAGGTGCCCAATTCACATACACAAGTGAAACTGCTGACCTTATTGACTATGTACTTTTTTCTATTACCTGTTTCCAGGATTCTAAAGTTCTAGGGACATGCATTCAAGGGACACTGGGATGGATGTTAAAGAGTAAGAGGCTCTCTCTCCACTTCAACCCAAAACAAGACTTTGTCTGGTTGAGTCTTGTAGCATTGTCTGGAAGATTCCATTTAGAATACAGGTGTGATGACACAAGTGTAATCCCAGCATTGGGTAGGTTGAAGCACGGAGATCATGAGTTTGACATCAGGCTGAGATATATAGCGGGACCCAAGCTAACCCTCTATCCCAAAAAAGTTTGTCTGTCTACAACAACAACAACAGAGAGAGAGAGGGAGGGAGGAAAGGAGAGAGAGAGAGAGAGAGAAAAAGAGAGAGAGAGAGGAGTGAGTTAATAAATAAGCAAAGCCAGCAATATCATTAATTCTCAGAGTTTGCAATGGTGGTCCATTTATAGAAAACTCAAGGAGGTTTTGAGGTTGAAGTCAGTTCTAGTTATAGACAGAAGTGCATTTTAAAGCACATTCAAATGCAGACTGTGTAATGTTGCAGATGCAACCAGTGCTTAGAGACCAGAAATAATGCTTTAACTTTGTGCAATGATGTCTTGGTAGTTGCTGGCCTCACTTATTTCATTTTTTTAAATAAAATTTCTGAAGTAAGTTATATTCTCCAAAGTAAATAATCAGTCATAATCAGTCATTACTTTGAGAGCATTTTAATAAGGTCCATTTGGAATCCTGAGCAGCACTGATTTTCTTTTTTTTTTTTTCTTTTTTTTTCAGGTGATATTTATTCTTTTAATTTTTATTAATTACATTTTATTCACTTTGTATCCCCCCATAAACCCCTCCCTCCTCCCCTTCCAATCCCACCTCCCTTCCCTCTTCTCCAACATGCCCCTCCCCAAGTCCACTCATAAGGGAGGTCTTCCTCTCCTTCCTTCTGATCCTAGTCTATCAGGTCTCATCAGGAGTGGCTGCATTGTCCTCCTCTGTGGCCTGGTAAGGCTGTTCCCCCCTCAGGGTGAGGTGATCAAAGAGCCAGCCACTGAGTTTATGTCAGTGACAGTCCCTGTTCCCCTTACTAGGACACCCACTTGGACACTAAAGTGCCATGGGAAACTTCTGTGCAGGGGTTCTAGCTTAACTCCATGCATGGTACTTGGTCGGAGTATGAGTCTCAGGAAAGACCTTTGGCAGCACTGGTTTTCTAGAAGCACTGCTGGTCCATGGTTACCTGTATAGACTCTGGAGACAGACAGACTAGGTGAGACACCTCACCATACACTAGATGTATGGGCTGTGTGGTGTTAAGGATATGAGTTAATTTCTTCTAGACTCCGTTTTGTAAACACTGAATAAATGGTAGCTAATTATTTTGGTTGATTTATATCTACTTGGGTAGAAATTGGGTGGGTGAAGATTTGTATGCTACCAATGCTAAAGATGTTTTTGTTGTTGTTTTGTTTTGTTTTGTTTTTCAGTTTGAAAAAGGTAATTAATCCGTTTTAAAATAAGGACACCAGTGAGAGTCCTTGCAGAAATGAGAGCTATTGGCTGTTTCTAAGGGACATAGTTTTGCACATCACAACACTTTATATCCTCTCACCAAAGAATCATTCAGTCTTAAATAGTCTAGAGCTACCATAAAGACATACCAAAGAGAGTTTAGTATCAAGAACATTATTTGGGGACAGGAGAGATGGCTCAGTGTTTAAGAACATGAACTGCTCATTACAGAGGACCTGTGTTTTATTTCCCGGTACCCACATAAGGTGGTTCACAACTGCCTGCAACTTTAGCTCCAAGGAATCTGATGCCCTCTTCTAGTCTCTGAGAGAATGTGCACTCACATGCACATATCCACACACATATATAAAAATAAAAATTAAAAAAAGATAATTTTAAGTTATATTACAAAATGGTAGTGAGAATATAGTTTTCAAGAGATCGATCTACTTGTAACCAGCATAGGCTCACCAACAACTTCCCTTTCTACAGCCAAACTTTCTGGAAAATATGGTGACCACTGCAGTGCACTTGGCTTTAATATTCATATGGACTGCCTGGAAGATCTGGACAAAGTGGAGACTCTGGTATAGCTGATCTGCAGGGAGGTCTGAGATTGCAATTTTCTAACGTGCTTCTGGATGGTTCTACGCTGCAGGCCTGAACTACTCTGTAGTTTGTATAAAGGACATGGCATCCAGGCTTGGGGATATGGTTATCCTTAGGAAGTCTGTTTTGGCTCGTGCAGATAATGTTAAATGGTTCAATCCAAAGACTTCTAGCAAATCCTATTTAGTCATTCTGGACTTGAATACTTAGCTCTACTTAGCCTATGTAAAATGCTATAAGCTTTATAATTAGCAAAACCATCTTTTTAATATGCCCAAAGATAAATGTGTCTTTTTTTCCTCAGGTCATATGAGTCTAGGCATTTTTTCAGCGCTTGAAATGCCACATCCAATTCTGAGCAAGATTCTTCCAGGACAACCTAGTCTGAAGTGAATGTTGAAATGGGAGAAGAAAAAAAAAATGGGAGAGTTCGAATAGTTTCTGTCACTTTTAAAAGGACACAATTGCATGTTTGCTTCATGAGAGTACGCAATTTTCCAAACCCCATTACATTCTTATCAGTCAGCCAATCTACTATATTTATTGCCAGCTCCTTTTGGAACACAATGTAGCTCCCCTTCAATGCCTCTATTTGACTCCTGCTGCTCTACATTCCGTTATGTCAAAAACAAATCTTGAGGAGGTCAGAGAAACAC